TAGTACTCGCCCCAACCAACTCCAATATCTGACACTTCCTGGTCTTACTAACCTCGCCCCTCTCCACCGCCCCTTGCACAAACGCCTCAAACTCCTCTTTCCCCATGACATCCTGCCCCTCCTCCGGAAACAGCTGCGCAGACACCTTTTCCGCAATGTCGGCTGGGATGCGACCCGCGGCACTTTGCACGGCGAGACCGAGGACGAGGCGCGCGGTCCGGATTAGGTGCGTGTCTGTTTGGCTGGTGGAGGTTGAGGTCGAGAGGGCGCGGTGGAGGAGCAGGATTGTTGTGCGGGAGTCGGGGGAGGAGGGCGGACTGGTGGTGGTGCTGGGGAGGTAGGAGTGCGTGGAAAGGGGGAAGTCGTCGATATTTGAAAGGGGGTTCTCGATTTCTGTTGTTGGTGTGGATAGGGGTGATGGGGAATGGCGGATGACGGTTGTTGTAGGCGAAGGTTGGGGTGTGATATCTGAAAGCGGGTTTTCGATCTCAGTCACCGGTGTGGATAGAGGCGATGGTGATGGGGAAGGCCGTGAGTGCGAACTTCGGATGAAGAGAGTGGGTGTCGGTGTATCCGCGAGTGGGTCTCCAATCTCAGTTACTGGAGTGGATAAAGGTGATGGTGATGGAGTAGTCTGAATAGCGGTGCCAGGTCTTGAAAGAGGTTGCCGGATGTGGATAGTAGTTGGCGAGGCCTGCAGCATTGCTACAGCGGTGGCGGGGATATTCTCGCCGATGACTGAGGTGCTGGGTGTGATTTCGGAGCTTCTTGGAGATATGTATCTCGTGAAGCCGGTGAAGCCGGATGGGACGCGGGCACGGGATGGTGTTGCTGGACTGGTTGGGCGGGACGGTCGGTAGTAGGGGATGGGAAGGGAGTAGTTTATTGGACTTGTTGACGGTGAGGGGCTCGCTGGGGTGTCTTGGGGGAGTGGCGTGGATTCGAAGAGGGATGGAGAGAAGGAGAAGCTGGAATGAGAGCTGGGTGTCGATGTTGATGCGCTGTCACTGCCGGTGTCAAGAGGATGAGGTCGGGTGGTGGAGATGGGGATGAAAGCGATTGGCTGTAGCAGAGATATGTCAGTGATACTGTAAGTTAAAAGGGAAGGTGTAGCAAGACTTACGTCAATCTGCGGTGCTTCATCCGAGATATCCAACGGTGAGGGTGCTCGCTCCGCCCAGTCTTCTTCCTGAACTGACATATGCTTATCACTACATTCTTCACATCCAAAATCTCTGCAATGGAAACCCGATGTTAGCAATCCGCCATCAATGTAGGGGAGTATAGCTTCGGGTAAATCGCACCTCTTGCACCGTCCGTGGTGGAACTTGTGACTGCAGCTCGTCCTCATCGAGGTCCTCGGGGTAGAGGCAGAAGACGAGGACTTGAGATCTAGGTGGAGAAGGTCGAGCAGAAATGTCTTGATGCGGCAATAACGACCGTGTGCTATGCAGTCTTGTAGTTCTAGGGGCGTCAGGGTGCAGTGAGATGCTGTCGCGTATGCCGGATGTGAAGCCTTGATTGGTGAAGGAGGGAGAGACGGTGAGTATAGGTCTAGGAAAGATTGCGAAGGCGATGTAGGGGTTGGCGGCTCCGAAGGTATCGAGCATAGTGTGTGTGCGCTTGCGACTGTGAAGACGCTGCTTCGATCCCGTCTATGTCGAGCATGTTTGCGGCGTGCGTCTTCTTTTGGCTCGAAGCCGTTGCCGAATCTGAAGTCGTATCGTAACTCGCCCTTCCTATGGTGTGGCCGGTATTTGGATTCTGGTGTAGTTGAGCCAGAAATTGTGCGACGAGGCCTCGTGGGTGTTGTGTTGATATGGTAGTTGTGATTCATAAAACTGTCTGAGCGTCGGAGTCGTTGTATGTCAACGTCAGACATACTCCGGATCTTAGGCTGCCGGCGATGGTAGTTAGTCTCTGAGGTAGGCAGGGGAATGAGGTGAGGATATGTTGACAGCTGGTGGGTTGTGGCCTCCATGACTGCGGGGGTAGAGGGTTCTGAGGTGGAAAGTAGCGTTAAGCTGGGAGTGTAGAGTGTAAGTACCTTTGTTCGCCCGAGATCGCAATTCTGGACTGAACTGATAGATGAATGAAGGCTCAGATGCCTTGTTTTGGTCCGGTTGCACATCTGCTGACCCAAAATTACGGTAGAAAGGGTCCGAAAGAGGTCGAGACATTCACTGCCTTCATCCTGCTCCAAAGAGCACACATTGTTACCCTCACTAGCGTGTGAAAGATGTCCGCGTCCTAAGAAAATCATTTCAAAGTCGCTACCGTCGATTGTCGTTGTGAGCATGATGTCAAAGCAATAGCGTCTTTGTTGAGATACATCGCCTAGCCCATGGCGGCGGGACAATGACTTTATGAAGCGTACGTCGTTATTAAACTCGGTTCTGTCTTACTACGGGAGCAGAATCTAAGGTTCGCGTCATTTTGCTGAAACCTGTCATCCTAAGAAGATTGATTGCGATCGTAACTTAGTTTGGGAGTAAGCTGAAGAGGCCGTGTTACAACACATTGCGCAGAGCCTTGAGTAAAGTTTACCGTTTGTTTCACCTCGTTCTGGAAGGCGGATGGAATCGGCGGCAAAGTTTGAACGTCGATGAAGCGATCGATTGCACCATTATGTGACGATAACCGTTGCTGTCACTGTCAAACTCAAGTGCTCGTTACTTCCTTGATGACCGGTTGGGTGGCTGGGTGGTTGAAACCCGACTGCCGCCTGCCGCCGGCAAACTGCCCGCCTCACTTCTCGAACACCCAACCACCGCTCCTCAAGCTTCACACGCTCAACCCTTATGTATACCTTGTATGTATACGCGTACAGTTCCCATCTTCTCTCATAGGCGAGATAAAAATGGAGATGGAGGGCGCGTTCTTTAGTGAGTGACGCCGCCCTTCGATGTGCGCGCGCCCTTCGCCTAGCAACTTCAACTCCTCACAGCCAACAATACCGACGGTGAATTTGCGCGAGCGGGATTGCTACGGTCAGTATCTAAAGTTCTTCGGGAAATTCTTGCTTCGAAACACACTACAATTCGTCGGCTTGTACTGCTCATCGATTAAACTTTACCGGTCGACACGTCGACAGCGCACGACAGCCACTAGACACACGCTTGGACGTCTTTTCACCACCTGTCCGCCCTCCTCATCGCGACGCTTCGAAACACCAACACCGCCTCACCAAAATGAACGAACAAAACGAATCCCTCCTCTTCCGTCTCCCGCGGGAGTTGCGCGATGAGGTCTACCACTACTATGTTCTTGAGGAAGACGGTTACCACCACGATGCCACGTCTGACAAGCTTCGACAGGCTAGCGGACGTCCGATCAATTTAAGTTTGCAGTACACTTGCAAGAAGACTGCGACCGAGATGGAGGGTCTGGCTCTGCAGGTGAACAGGGTTACATTCCGTACAAAGCTCGAAGTACCCGAACCTGACAGCGAATGCTCGAACGCGCTTTTATGGAATCATCTTCTCTGTGAACGAGAACGACCTCTCCGACGTATGTTCGAGTGGTCCTATACTCTGGTTACGCTCGAAGCTATACAACGCCTACGAGAGCTGCACCCGGATAGTACCGCGGCGGAGCAGATCGAGAAAGCGTTCATCAGGATGGGCGACAGGATTCACTGGCTCAGCCCCGGGACACTGTTTAATGAAGGCGTAGTTTGGAGTATAGACTATACAGCGCACACAACTCTACTACAAGACTTGTTGCAAATCCTATCCACCCACCCAGAGTTCTGGCGGTTGACTTCCAAAGAGTATACCAGAGAGTCTGAAGAAAACGACAGTAGGCATGCTTCGGCTAGTCAAATTGAGCTGTTCTCTGACTTTGCACAGACGGTAGGATTGTACACGAAGATTTGGAGTACCCAAATCAGACGATTCAGGCGTTGATGCTTGCATGGCGCCCGGACCCATGGCGAATGCCGGATCGAGCTGAGTTTGACACGATCTTCGAATTTCTTCCACGGCCTCCTGCAATAGTAGAGGACCTTGACCGAGGGTGGTATCTGGATGACACGTACTATTCGGCTACCGCGGTGACTATTCGATTCTTAGAGCGCTTGCCACCAGCCACTCGGACGCATCTACGCAATATTACCATCCAGGAAAACGAAATAAGCGAGGCACATAGGCAAACTCACGCTAGAGGCCTTATTCCTTTCTGCTGCGAAAACCTCAAGCTTCGGATTGAGAGGAGAGTAGACGTATTTCACCAGCACTTCTTGTCCGAGCGCATGGGTTTAGAAGACGGAATCGAGGAAATTGCGCCCTGGTTCGTTGAAACCAAGTTCCTCAAGAGGCTTGGGATGCCACCCGATTCCTTTCGCTTGGTTCTTCACGGGCCCACACCTCGAGCGAGCCAACGGCTGAGCGACCTTCTCATCAAGCTTGCCATTTGGGACGAGGGCTGCACTGTACTCGAGCATAGATTAGGTCCCAGCTCCGATTATGTCGTCTACCCGATGCGTAGAGGCTTTGCGGATGGTGTTAAGAAGATGGTTACAGGTGAGCTTCCTGCAAGAATTGAGGCCGATATGGGACATGTGTGGGATATCAACCAGCTCCTGGACGACCATGTTGGCGAATGGCCTGCACTCAGCGAAGACGTATATGTGAAGACTGCGACTAGGCATGCTGGACACGAATTGTCACTTGAAGAGGAGGACTAGACAGTACGAATGAAAGGCTGCAGTCTTTTCACCACAGATCCCTCTGCGACTAAAAAAACTCGGCTTTCGTCATACCGCTCTTGGGGTTCGTGGTACCATGGTACACCTCCGCCGTTGCGCCCTCGGTCGCGCCCTTGACAGCGCCCTTGACGAGTCTGACTAGTGCCGAATTTCGCGTTTCCCCATGTAAAAGGTCTTGGTTTCCCGGACCATCGCATTCTAATACCCATCCAAAACCTTTGCGACGCCGCTTCTGTGTCTTCTCTTTAAAGTCACATCACAATCGCTTAATCCAGAGAAAGCCCTCTCAGCCATGGCAATGGACCCGACACCACAGAACGCGTTGGATCTGCACCAGTCTCTCCTCTTCCGTCTTCCACGAGAGCTGCGAGATGAAATCTACTACTACTATTCCCAAGCGAACGGCTACTACTACGACTCCACTTCTGGGACACTTCGAATGCACGGCGGCGAGTGCATTGATCTCAGCCTCCAATATACCTGTAAAAGGACAGCGGCGGAGATGCAGGGTATTGCCTTGGGGATCAACACAATAACCTTCCGTACTATGCTCGATCTCCCCAGGCCTTCCGACCAACTCATGAAATCCCAAATCTTCGGTTATTACATCGATGAAGGAAGGGGTGCCATACTTAGTCGCATGCTCGAATGGACATACCCTCTAGTCACAGCCGAGACCATGCGTAAGTTGTGCGAACGCCATCCAGCGAACCTGGCAGTCAAGAAGATGAGGGAATTGCATCGAGAGGGAGACAGTGATGGACCCCTAGCGCGTGGACACCTATGGGGTGAGCTTGAAGATGTCGATACAGTCGATTATAACGAGTTCTCAGCGCAAACATTCGAAATCATCCGAGACTTGCTGGATATCATATCCACGGAGCCTGAATTCTGGCACATGACTGCAAGCGACTTCGATGTTAACGCGAGGAGGGCATTTTTCGTGGCAACTAATCACTGGGCCACCCGTTGGGAGGCATTCGAGGATTATCTTATGAAGAATGTTCCCGTATACACTTCCAAGGCAGAACAGCAGCGAGTACTACAGTGGCGACCTGACAGCTGGTCTATCCCCACAAATGATGACCTTGAGGCAGTGGCAGAGTTCCTACCTCACGACGATGATTCTGATCCTTTTGATATGGTACACATACGGGGAGGAAGGCGATCCTACTTCTCTGCAGCCGCCGTCGCAGTTCAATTCCTCTCACGCCTCAGCGAATCCGCACGTAGCCATCTCCGCCAGGTCACTATACTGGAAGACGAGCAAAGCGACCCCGAATCCTCCAGTCATGCAAGAGGCCTACTTCCGTTTTGTATCTCCAACACTCAATTGAAGATTGAGAGAAGAGTAGACATATGGCGTACCTCACTCATACGTACTTCGAGAGCGACCCATGATGCAGGGACCCAACTTATAATGAAGGAGATTGGGATGTGGATTAGTGAGACAAAAGCACTGTTTGTCTTGGGGATGCTGCCCGGCTCTTACAATCTGGTCTTACACGGCCCATCACCTCTTGCGAGCCAACAAATCTGCGATGCCACTGTCAGGGTAGCAATCTGGGAGGAAGGGTGTACATCGATCGCAAAAGCCGACACTTTCCAAGGGCACTACTTTGTTCACTTTCTTGGTGAAGGCTTCGTGGAGGCGATCAAGGGGGTTGTCGAAGGGAGCATTCCAGCTCGATTCGACGCAGACATGGGGAAGATATGGGATATCGACCAGCTGATGAAGGAAAAGGATGGCGATTGGCCTTCGGACCTGGAGGATGTTTTCGAAATTCGCGACCTCGAAGAGCCAGCGGAAGGCTGGTGCGCTGCACATGAAGAGCGATTTGGGGTGTGGGAGCACAGTGACTATATTCAAGTAGACTGGACAGAATACATGGAGGGGGTTGAGATGCTTTTTGAAGCAGAATGAGGTCAATGAATCCGACTAGGTAGAGAGGACGAATGGGTAGAATACACCAACATTGTCGGCGATGGCTTAACAACCTCATGGAAGGGGAAGTTGAGTGATCAGGAAGCTGTTTGGGCTGATGAATTCAGGACATCTCATCTTCGTTGTCCAGTTATCACACTCCACAATACTGTGTATCATCCATCTGAACTATATCATCTTCTTCTTCCAGATCTTCCTTGTGCAATTAAATCAGCCACCGAGGTACTGTTGACTCTTAGACTTAAATGTATTCATATTCGCTGCACCGCTTCTGTGTTCCAGATAATTCTGGTACGCCATCGCCCTTGCGCCCTTGGCAGCGCCCTTTCGCTACCATGGGAGACACACTCTCAGCTTAATGTCAAAAGCTTCGCGCGACACATTTCTCCAACATACACAAACTTTCTTGCGCCAAGATGCAGTCGAAAAAACCCATGATCATGGACCAGCATCAGTCGATATTCTTTCGTCTTCCTCGAGAACTACGCGACAAGGTCTATCATCATTACGTCTTGGAAGAAGGCGGATACATCCATGATGCTGCTTCGGCATTGCTTCGACCGAATGACGGGGGCCATGTCAATATCAGTCTGCAATACACATGCAAGCGAGTATCGAAAGAGATAAACGGGGTGGCACTAGCAACAAATATCGTCGGATTCCGCACGGCTTTCGCACCGTCACGTGCTGTAGGTCAGCCGTCGAACGCGTCCTTGTTTGAGCAGCTTCTCAGATACCATCGAAATCGGCTGCGACACATGTTGGAGTGGGCGTATACAACCGTGTCGGTCGAAGTAATGCTTACCCTAAAGTCATTATACCCGAACAGCCTTGCGGTAAAGAAGATGATGGAGGTGGTCCAAGAGGAGGGCAACACGGTTTTGCAAGATGGCTTCTTATTCACAGTGTGGTCACTGGATTACTACAACAGCGGATACATCTTGGCAGACCTTTCTAAAATCATGGCGACCCAACCCGATTTCTACTACCTCACATCGAAAGAGTACGACCTCGAATTACGAAGGGCGACGGAAAGCGACGATGATGACGACAGTTATGGTGACGACAGCAATGACGATGAGGCATTCAGTGATGACAGCGGTAACATGGTTTCTTCCTTGGATTCATCCACCTTTATCATGCCGCCTTCCTATTCGAAAGACACGCAAACAAAAATATTACAATGGAGGCCCCGGCTGTGGTCGATACCCAATCATGCCGAGCTCGAAGCGATATCGGAGTTTCTACCTCCATGGCCAACAGCGATTGCTAATCCAGTTCCTGATCACGAATACGCACCCAATATGTACTTTTCTGCTGCAGCAGTCGCAATCCGCTTTCTCGAAGAGCTTGCTCCAAAACCCCGGGAGCAGCTTCGCAAGATCGTAATCCAGGAAGACCATCCAAGTGTAGCATCTTCGAAAACACACGCGCAGGGCCTGATATCGTTCTGCCAGGCGAACCCAAAAGTCCGAATAGAGCGTAGGGTCAATGTGTGGCCTACCGAGTTCGTGTACCGGAGCAACTATTTCGCCCATCATACGAAAGTGATAGTAAAGATGATTGCGACTTGGATCAATGAGGTCAAGATCTTATATCAAATGGGTATGCCTGCCGGCTGCTTCACACTGGTTCTCCACGGTCCATCCGAAGAGGCAAGTCAGCAGCTCAGCGATGCCATCACTAGAGCAGCGATATGGCTAGAGGGCACTGTTGAACTTGCTCGGCGAGAGCAGCGTCAGTTCCACCCCTTTCAAGGTATAACCGAAGACTTCGTGGACGTGATCAAGGAGATGTTGCGCGGGGAGATACCAGCGAGGTTCGATGCAGAGATGGATGAGGTATGGGATATTGAGAAGATTCTAAGCGAGCATGTGGGAGACTGGCCCAGCAAGGTCAGCGATGTCTTTCATCTTCAGGATTTCGAGGAGCCGGAGGGTGGTTGGCACGCGGCGCGCGAAGCGTACAAGGAGAGGGAGGTTTAAGCGGACAGGATAAACGGGTGGAGACATTTGGGCGGGGAGGAGTCGCTGTAGTGTGGAACTACTGATGACGAATATACTGTGCCGTCATAGACACTACAGCCATTATGTAGACTGAGTAATGCAGTAATGTTGCAACTTTTGGTACGTCTGTTACTAAAAACCTGGCAACCTAGCAATAATCCGCCGGTTACAAGTTCGGCTATTAAACCAAACGAGCCAATGACCTGGTACACGAGTCGTGCTGTGCATACTCAACGGGATCATGCTACGCCGCCCTTGCATCCTCCGCGGCGCCCTTGATGGGCCTGACACGTACCAACTTCCGCGTGTCCTCACACCAGAAACAACCCCATTCTCCCAAACGATAGCGTTTTAACATGATCCGGAAGCCTTTGCGATATCGTTCGCTTGCCTTTATGCTCTCGACGCAGACTCCCAATATCGCAGACCCTCTTCGTCATGGTGACGGACCCAGCATGAACAATCAACATCAGTCTCTCCTCTTCCGGCTGCCACGAGAGCTGCGGGATAAAATCTATGAGTACTACACGCATCAAGAGCAAGGGTATACCTACGATCCATCGGCTCAAAAGTTTCGGCTACATAATGGACAAAAGATTGATGTCGCGTTGATCTACACCTGCAAAAGAGCGGCACAAGAGATAGACGGTTTGGCGTTTGAATCGAACACGCTCCGATTTAGCGTCCTTCCGCAGATTCCTGGCACTGAGACTTCAAGCTTTGCAGCCTTTTTCTACCGCAGTCTCCTGGAAGGTCGCAACATGTGTCTCCGGATTATGTTGTCATATGCATATCCCCTTGTCACACGAGAAGCCTTGAGAGAGCTGCGCTCGAGATATCCAGGTAACACGGCAGTGGAAGAGCTAGAGAAAACGATTATCAGGGAGGGTAGAGCGGGCTTGAAGGAAGGCCGCCTTTACCATGTGTGTAGATTGGATTATCTCATCAAAGACGCTATACTTCAGGATCTCATTCAGATCATTTCGAGGCATCCAGCGTTCGAGCGCCTCGTTTTGGGAGAGTACGATCCATCCGCCAAGACGAGTGCTCCATTGGACTATGACCCGGTTACGGATGACGAGGACGAATCCGAGGACGAGGATAATGACAACGACCAGGGCAGAAGTCGCTCTCGGCCATCGGTATACACGAGAGACACCCTATATCAGATTATCGAGTGGAGGCCCACGTATTGGTGGATTCCGGAGAAAAAGGACCTTGATAAGGTCGCGAAATATGTTCCACCAGCACCAGAACTCGGGACTCGCCATAATGGTCGCGTCAAGAGATTCAAAAGGTACTTCTCGGCAGCGGCAGCTGCCATCCAATTCCTTGAGCGCCTTACACCCAAAAAGCGCGCCCAAGTGCGCAAAATTGTTATTCAGGAAGATTACGCGAGCTTAGGAATCTCCCAGAACCACGCGAGCCACACGAACTTAGGACTCTCCCAGACCCACGCACGCGGGCTTGTTCCATATTTGCTCGAGAATCCTAGACTTCGGATAGAGCGACGCGTCGACATCTGGGGGACTGTGCTTATCCCTAATCGCGAGCGTTCCTACGGTGTCGAGCGCTGTCTCTGGGATGTTGCAACGTGGATACACGAAGCAAGTATGCCATGGATTATGGACCTGCCAACGGGTTCTTTCTCCTTGGTCTTACATGGCCCTGACGAGAGAGCCAGTGAGCTTCTCTGCAATGCCATGCGGCAGGCTGCAATGTGGCAGGACGGCGCTGAAGAACTGACACGCCGGGGGACCATGCAGAGGATGACTCCTATATCCGATGACTTCGTCGACGTTATAAAGGCGGTGGTGCGCGGCGATGTTCCGGTGCGTTTCGAGGCAGGTGTGCCCGAGCTATGGGATACAGACAAGATCTTGCGCGAGCAATCCGACCAGTGGCCATACGCAGTTGATAGGTTGAGATGCGTTACTGTTTTCCATTTCGGTATGCATGATGGAGGCTGGGACTCGGTTCGCTCAGAGCAGATGGAGGAGATTGAGTGGACGGATGGAATGGTCGTTCGGGGTCTATTTGAAACGGAAGATTAGCAGGACAGCACTACAATGGGGGCAAGATTGCGATGTCGGCTGGCAGTTCGTCTATTCGTGCTGAAATGTGTGGGCCTCAATGTGAAAATGTCGAAACTCTTGCGTAGAGAGTTGCATGCGAAGGGCGCCGGCCATGGTCGCGGCACACACGAAAACGCGCCAAGACCTACGTTTGACATGTTTGCAGTCAGCTATGACGTCAACCCAGCCGCGTCGCTTTCAACCAGCGCGGCCGAGACTCGAGCTTCCAGCATGGGCAGCAAGCTGATCACAATTACGAAGCCCAAGAACTAGGGAGGTACGCCTTGATCTAAATCCAGATACCCGCACATGCCAGCCATTGAAAGCGCCTGGACGCTGCTCCGGGCCGCTGTGGTGCATGAGATTGATTGGTATGCTGGCGGCATTGTCGAGCTTAATTGAGGTTAAATCAAGGTATACGCTTGAAATGAGCCCCACATCGTCACTCGTTGTAGATTACCCCGTTGGTGTTGATGTTGGCTGTGGCTTAATCCTGGGTAGAACAGGGACAAACGCAGGCACGGCAGGAACCTACGTCACTGCCCGCGTGCCTGCCTTCATAACGCGCCAACACGGACTCTTTGACTCCGCGCATACTCACGATACCCAGTTTCCCCCACTTCATTCTCTCTACTCTTACAATTGACCTTTGTAAACCACAGTCAGAATGGAGACCATCACCAACCTCGCAAGCAATGCTGCTGGCGCAGCCTCCAAGCTCATCTACGGCGACCAGACCAAGGCGGACGACGCAGTCGACCAGACCAAGAACAACGAAACTGCCGGCAAGGAGCCTGTCTCCGGTGAGCAGGGTCAAGGCACTGTCACTCAGCCCTACGATCAGGGCAATCTTGGTGAGCCTCCACTAACCCGCGCATTGGACGATATATGCTGACCCCGCTTCGTAGCAACCCCTCTAGCGACTGCTGATAAGGGAACTTTCCTCGACTACTCGAACAACGAGACTGCGGGCAAGAAGCCCGTATCGGGAGAGCTGGGCAAGGGTACTGTGACAGAACCCTTCGACCAAGGCAACGATGGTGAGTGTTCCGCGATTGGTGCGTAGTAGAACAACGTACTGATGTATCGCACAGCCAAGGCGACCGAGAAGGCAGCCGAAAAGACCTCTGGCACAGATGAGTTCCTGAAGCTCGACCCTACCACCAAGGGACCGACCGAGACCATGACCGAAACATCGACCGACCCCAAGATCTACTCGGATAGCAAGGACCCGTCCTACATTGGCATGCCCATCGTCCCCCTCAACCCCGACGCTGCTACGTCAAACACTGGCGCTACCTCCTCTACAACTCAGGCCACTGGCATCACGGACAAGGCTGGAGTAACGGATAAGCTTTGGAAGGACACTCCACTTGACGACATCAGCCGTTCAGGTGCGCCAGGTGCTGGTCCTACTGGTCCCAGCGATGTTACTCCTGCGGCTCCTGATTCCACGGCAACCACAACTACCAGCCCTGATCCCGCCATCAAGACCACTGCTCCCGACTCTGTAACCGGTGCTTCAAGCACATACGCGGGTGGCGCTGGTATCGACACTAAGACTGATGCCGAGAAGGCCTCTGCGAACCGCGATACTCCAGAGTGGACATCAACAGGCGTTCCTTCTGACAGCAGCAACTTCGAAGCGGCTGCTGCCAAACAGAACGCTGCCTCTGGTTTGTGGACACGGGAACCCGGACAAAGTCGGGGTAGTACTGACGGTGCCGCAGGTATGACTGGAGAGCACTCAGGTCGCAAGTCCGAGTCTGCCGATTTGACTACATCCCCAAGCGGCGAGGAGAAGGGTGGAAAGATGTCGCACTTGAAGGAGAAGATGAAGAACAAGCTTCACATCGGCTCCAAGGACAAATAGGGGCAAGGCGGAGGAATGGGTGATCTTAATGGATGATGGATGAGATATGATACCACGGCAATGATATGCCACCACGTACGAGGACAATACTCGTAGTGTACCCTTCGGATAGAAATCTACAGCGTTGAGCTCAAGTTTATCTTCCATTTTGTCCAATCATGTGCCTGGTTCGGCCTCGTGGCACTAACTAAAGTTAGCGTCGCGCCTGCCGTTCGCGATCTGACGTGCATGACAGCGTACAACAGCGATCTTATCACACGCCTCACTTCCAACATAATAGCATCACGTTGGCATTGCTTAGACAACATATTGGCTTTTGAAACCGTCACAAGACCGATTTTGACGAGCCGCTTCCTCTTGCAGCCTGGACAAGATCCCAAGGTACGTGAACGGCTATCCGCGCTTAAAGGTACTGTGCCACCCAGTCTACCTTTTCTATAGTGGCCTTCTCGCCAACAAAAACACCTCTTCCAAACTTTCTCCCTATCCTCTCTCTAGTACTATCAGTTTGCAGCCAGCATCATACACTCTGCAGCACGATCTTCGCATTGCCACTAGCGCGGCAACCACATTGTACTTTCATTGTCGGAACAACGTTGCGCTGGAACTCTATTGGCAGCCTTGCTTGTGAAGATAGCCGTGGCTACTCCAAATCGCTTCATTCTTGGTCCCGTTCATCCTTCCTAAATACAATCGTCTTATGATTCTTGATCGCACACCATCAACATGGGAAACATTGGCAACGAGAATGCAGTTCGTAAGGCTGACATCGCGATTGATAGAACAACGCCTGAGAGACACACTCGAATTTCGAAAGACCTGTCTACTTCGCCGCACAATCACGGCTACATGGATGAGGCGAACATGATACGGAGGGCGGCGGGCAAGATACCGCATGTTTGCGTTGTGGGCGCTGGTGTCGCTGGACTAAGATGTGCGGATTTGTTGCTGAAGCAGGGCGTTAAGGTGACAATACTGGAAGGCCGGAATCGGGTTGGTGGGAGGGTACGTCCAATCAGCTGTGTAAGTTTTGACGCACACTAACTAGCTGTCAGCTATGCCAAAGCGATGAGCTCGGCCACAGGGTTGACCTGTAAGTTCGCAATTCTTGATGTAGCTTGTATGAACTGACCGTGCTGGCAGTGGGCCAAACTGGATACACGGGACTGACGACAACCCTATACTGGATTTGGCCAAAGAGACCAAAACTACTACCATGAACTGGGATGGTCGTCAATCAGTCTTCGACAGTCAGGGGAACCACATGTCGGATAAAGACGCGGCAAAGAACACCGAGCGCGTGTGGGCCATCATCGAGCAAGCGATGAAGCTATCGAACGAGACTTCGGCGACGATACCAGCGGAGAGAAGCTTGTATGACTACTTTCAAGAACAGGTCGTAGAAATGTTCCCCAAGAAGAATGATGAAGCAAAGAAGCAGCAGCAAACAATCCTCCAAATGGCGGAGATGTGGGGCGCCTTCGTTGGATCGCCTATTCAGAGGCAAAGCCTAAAGTTCTTCTGGCTTGAAGAGTGCATTGATGGCGAGAATCTTTTCGTCGCATCTACGTACGACAAGGTACTGAAGAAGATCGCTGAGCCGGCGCTGAAGGACGCAACGACGCTGTTTGAGCATAAAGTGCAGCGGATCATATCAGGAGAGAAGACCGAGGATGCACGCGTCACCGTCGAAGTTGAAGGTCGACAAAGCATGACCTTTGACGAGGTCATCATGACAGCTCCACTGGGCTGGTTAAAGCGTAATCTCGGGGCTTTCGTTCCAGAATTACCGAAACGACTGACAGAGGCTGTTGAAAGTCTAGGGTACGGGCATCTAGACAAGGTGTACATCAGCTTCCCAAAAGCCTTCTGGAATGAGCCCATCACCAATGACTCAACTTCGCCATCCGCGTCCCGCGATCTCAGCAAACCAAACGTAACAGCAACGACGGCGCCCATCCACCAAGCCACAGACTCACCAGTCAACCCAGCGCACTACCCAGGCTTCACACACTGGACACATCCAACCTATGCATCTGAAACAAACCCCGAATCCTGGGACCAAGAAGCCGTCAACCTGGCCGCCTTACCAGAAGGCTCAGCACACCCAACCCTCCTCTTCTACACCTTTGGCCCGACCAGCCTGCACATCGCGCAACTCCTCGCCTCTAATCCCCAAACAAAGCACACCACCCTCCTAGACTCCTTCTTCGCACCCTACTACACCAAACTCCCCAACTACAATCCCAAAGACCCCTCCTGCACCCCTACAGCCATCCTAGCAACAGCCTGGGCAAATGACGAACTCGCCGGGTACGGCTCCTACTGCAATTTCCAGGTAGGGCTTGAGAAGGGTGACGAAGATGTGGAGACGTTACGAAGAGGCATGCCTGAACGCGGTGTTTGGTTGGCGGGAGAACATTGCGCGCCGTTTGTTGCATTGGGGACGGTGACGGGGGCGTATTGGAGTGGGGAGGGCGTCGCGAAACGCGTATTGCAAGCTTATGGGCTTGGTGGGAATTGAGATGGCAATCGATGGGGTTGCGTCAGGGTACTGTAGCCTCATTTTCTCGACCTGCCTGCGATGGACGTACTGGACCGTTTTTGTCTTTACTCGAGGCTATCACAACTTTCCTGCATACCAGATCTCTGTACATCTCCAACGATCAGCGCAAACCAAGATCAGACTCAGATCTGAGTTTAAGGCGTACTCTTTCCTTCAATAATACGACGACCTCACCCAAAGTGCAAAGATTTCCCCGACCAAGAATTATGCCGGTGGGTCATCTGCACGAGTCGTCGCAAACCTCGCGCATCGCGCAACAACCCAACGCATCACCAAAGATCCTGATGATTAACTTCCGCTTCCGCGGACAGTTCTATCCCCACTATTCCTCACCAGCTATTTCTCCATCCAGACAGACCTGCATATCCCCACTCTCGCATTCTGCAAATGTACGCAAGCTAAACCGCGTTGTGGTCCTCGCACCGAATCCGAACTACAGACGGGGTAGGCCGTTGGCGCGCCATGCTCCGCGTTTCAGAATTGCTCGGCTTGAGGTGCTGGCCCTGGCCCCATCTGCATGTCCGTCTTTGCTTTTTCGTTCGCGTGGAGGCGGAAAGGCGCGAAATACGGTTTCTAGCGGGTGATGCCGTTGGCGCGTTGGATGGATGTCGCGGTCGCGATTGGGTGGGTTGCTGACCCGAGGGTTGGAATAGAGTTTAAGGTTCAGAGAAATTTTGGTGCTGGTGGGTTGTAGATTGGTATCGCGACACGATAGGTGAGGATCGGCGCGGTCTGGGAGAGGCGATCAACCAAACTTGATGGCGAGTTGGGCTGAAGGTTTGGGTAGGTACTTGAGTATATATTCTGGGTTTGCGCTGTCAAGTTGAGGGAGTATCATCAAGTCATTCCTTCTTATACCACCCTCCTTACTGCTGGACATACAGAGTCGTCTTTCCTTTTTTTGACCGTTTCAAATACATACGTACGAATATACATACGTACGAATATACACACGCGCATACTTAGTCGCCACACACAAGATGGAACGCACATCATCTCACGGTTCATCAACCTTCGGCTCATCGGCCTTCTCATCAACATCGTCAAACAAGTCACGAATCTCGATAAGAGAACGCATGGGCAAGCCAAGCAAGGTATGTGAACTCGAAAATACGATGGTGATAGGGTACTGACATTGAGCAGTATCTGTGGCAGACATTGCTGCAGTGCAAGATCCTATGATGGTTTGGCTGGACTGAACCGTGGGAATATTGCACGTATAAAGCTGAAGTGCGAGAGGGATGCGATGGAGGAGAAAGAATGTACATAACAGCTGCTGGGCGGTCGGGCTATCAGCAGGCTGCTAGCCAAAACAGAACAAGTCCTGTCGTTACAGGAAGAACCAAAGGCTGTAAAATCCTTTGCCACTCTACCCACATTATCGTCTTGATCTCTTTACTCTACTTCCATGACCACATCACCCGTCGCAAACCTCCATCCACTGAACGGGCTATCGGCGTAAGCATACAACTCTTCCTTCGTCACTTCATCACCATACTTCCCCCAAACACCCTTCCATATTCCCTTCGCTTGGACTTTGTACTTCGCCGGCTTACGCTCAGGCATCCACGGCTTGTCAAATACAACCTCGACCTCTTCTTCCGTCCCAGGCGCAATCGTAACAAGTGACCCCTGCGGCGGCGGCATCTTGCGATTAACCTGCAAAACAGTCTGCTCCACCTCCTCACCACTAACCGAATCGGTAACCGTGAAAACGCCAGTGTTGAGTGCGGAGGCGTCAAGTGGTGTATTCCATTTCAAGATCGTGTACGGAGTATCTGGACTGATGTTTTTGAGCGTAACGAGCAGCGTAGGCGGAGATCGGGATATTTGGCTTAGTGTAAACTCCAACCCGGGTATGCTGTTGACAGTGGAACTTGGATGCGGCATGCTGAAGTTGAGTGGGGTGGGAGACTGGTAGATGTAGAAGGCGCCGAGGAGGGATATGACAAGGCCGGTTAGAAGAACTGTACGGGTTGTCCAGATGTTTGCCATGTTAGCTTCTCATGTGGCTGGTTTGAGCAACGCGACACCAGTAAGGGGGGTTGGATGTATAAGGTTGCTGTCGCAGGGACAGATAACCGCAAGTCTGCACCCGCGACATCGCATTATGTTTACAGGCTGTCGCGTGACGACTGTGTTACGAGCGAATCATCTTGCCAGAGACAATATAAAGTGCTATCAGCCTTTGTACCTCCTTGCTCGGTACCTGCCCTGCTGGGGAGCGGGGTGCGCGGCGCTATACCCAATCTAGCTATGTGCCGGCGAGAACTCAATATATACTTCATTGCGTATCCGGGGTGAGACCGCCTATCGCTCAGAAGGATATCTTCATGTTATATCGTAGAACGATGGAGGTTACTTGCAGCTTGATGACTTTCACGTCTCTCTGGTGGGTACTGTGCTGTTAGTGCCTTGGCGCGAGGGTGCGGCTTCCAGGTGGGTGGGCCATGAGACTTGATTAGTATTCTATCACGACACTCACGAACAAGAACTTGTACGCCCGTCCTCATCTGCTAGGTAGGAACAGACTCTGTATTTATAGACTTCGGTACATGTCTTCATACAACCGAGCATCCTCACTCTATGGTGAACGCATGGTTGCAGATGCCGCTGCCGCCGGCCCTGCAACTCTACCAACCAACCCTATGACACACTCACCCAAGTACTGCAACGACTCGATAATGGAGACACACCGTTAGCTATTCGGCGCTCTTATGAAGCACAGTTGTTTTCGTTGGTAGAGATCTGGCCCCCAAATGCGGGCGCTGCGCCTTGCGCAAATCCCCGGACTGGCAGGACGCCTGAAAATACGCCCGATCTGCAAGTCGTCTCAGATAAGGCTGATGTCGCCGCGTCCGCTCGTGATTTGTTTCCTTGGTATGCATCGCGCACTGCTTCGCTTCAGGGATGAAATCTACGACGCAATTTTCCGCCGTTCGCCAGGACGCTGATGACGATGCACGAAGGAGCGCCGAAATGCTCGCAATGACCGACCACCACAGCGACGCCAAGTCCGAATCGCCCCACGAATGGCCTCAAAAAGATCCCAGGACGACATTCTTCGAGAAGTGGTCACCTTTCCCTTGGCGAGTAACTATGATCTTGTTTGCACTCCCTCTTGCGCTCGCCTGCATTGTCGGCCTCGCTGCGGCGGCGGAAACGGTTTCGCAGGGCTACATCATGGGACGAGACTGTTACCCGAACGGCCTTTGGAAAGAAGCCACCGGGGCAACATGGCGCATCATGGATTCTTCCTACTTCTTTACACCCAACCTGAGCTTCGGTGCTCTCACATTTACGCAGGTAAAGGTGATCGATGTCGCATGGGACCTGATCATTGGAAGAGGCGGACAACTCTTGTTGGCATGGGTGAACTACCGCGTCTTCAACGAGTGGCTGGTATATCACATGGAGATGCATCACACGTCCTACAAACTTTACGCCGCTGTAGCCTTCGAGACAACAACAATGGCTACGCTCGGTGTTCTAGGGAAGGAATTCCTGGCTTACGGAGCGTGCACCTGGAAGCGCTTGTTTCGTTGGCTAGCAATCTTCTCGATGCTGCTTTCTACCCTCTATGTGATCGCGTTCCCAACGCTGATGGCGGCCATGACTGGTTATATCACGACCTATCAGCCCTATATCGAGGATTTCGATGGCAATCTCATGGAGTGGAGCAAAGCTAAGGACGTGGTATACATCATCGAGGACGCGGATAGGGTGGGTTTGGAAGCACCGCTTATTGTCACAGCGGATGATCAGCCGCTTATTGATGCTGTTCACCATCGTAAGTATGCTAGGAGTATGTCCAGATCTCAACTGACGTGTCTTAGACATGGGGCAGTTCAGCAATTGGGGTTACACATTCCTCTTTGTAGGAGATTTAGACACTAAAGTACCATCTGTTGAGATTAAATTCCCCGGCGGTTTCAATATGACCAATGGAATTCGGAACCCCAATATCACGGCTGACTGGGTGTTCGACGGCAACGCGACATCGACGTTTCGCAGCCTCCGCATCGCAAGCTTCTCCACCGATGATTATGGATTAGACTCCGTCAAAAGTCTCAACAAAGATCCCAGACTTCAATACGCTTTTGAGAAACGGCCAGATGCCAATCACTCCTACACCGGGTATTACCTGCTGGACCACGGATCTTGCAAACCGAGCGAGACGTACCAATGGGGTTTCTCGTACATATTCCTCTTCATGGTATCGATATTCAACTTCGTCTGGGTCTGTATCATGGTCGGTATGTGGCTCGATACACGACGCGGATCTATGATGTATAGAAATGGAAGGAGACCGGGGCTTTTGCGCAGCATTATGGATTACTCGGCTGCGATTCGGGAGGAGTTGGGTGCGGAGGCGAATTACCTAGAGGAGGATGAGCTGAGGAAACGGTTGACGCAGAGTAGGGGCGCGCTCGTTGTGGAGAAGAGGGAGCTTAGGGTGACCAGGACGAGTACGGGGGAGATGACCAAGAGAGGTTGGAAGCGCGGTTTGACTAGTGGGAGCACGTTTTGAGAAGCGAATATAATAAGATTGCTATGAAGGCTTCGTGGTATCATAAGAGATGTAACTAACTAACCCTCCATCTGCGGCGTTGCTCAGCCCCATTGATATCTCTCCTCGTCAATCATGGTGCTCTCTTTCCAGCACTTTTCAACCCAGGCGACGCCAACGATTCTGGCAAGTCCTGTGATTTTGTTCCTCGCGTCCCTCGTCGGAGATTGCTCATCCAGCACAACGACATGTGTGACGCCTTCCGCGTTTATGTCGTCAGTTACCACGCCGCCCCCGAATTGGATGTAGTTCTTCGCCAGCTGTACTCTCAGCATACCATCTGGTCGTTCCTGATCGTTTCGGACGGCCGCTTTCACCGTACCAAACATATGTGTCTTAAGATGCGCAAACGACTCCCCATGATCTTCCAGTTGACCCAGAAACCCCTCTCGTTCAAATGCCGCGTCATCCTCCGGCACCGAAACACCCTCCAGCAACTTCCTCATCTCATCCGCATCCGCTACATCACGCGCATACGAATCTCCATGCTCATCAACATTATTCTCATAATCCAGTTGATCGTCGTCATGGAGATAAAACATGTGCCTGTTCGGTTCAAACGGAAGCAGGTATGGCATGGGAGTAGCGTCTAACTCGTTCTGCCTGATGCAATCCTGGACCCAGACGGGCTTGACGATGTTGTTCGTTGCGCGTTTCTCCAGCGAGGCCACTTTAATTAGTCGCTTGTCTGCGACGATGATGAGGTTCTTGTCCATGGAATCGCGCTGCACGATTTTGCCGCCGTTGGCTTTGACTAGGGCTTCGAGATCTGCTTTTGACTTTTTTGTTGGGGAGATTTGCTCGGTCATGATGAAGAAGCTGAGGCCTTCGAAGACTTTGGATGCTGGGCCTGCGTATGGTGTTGTGACGGTATCGTTGCCGACGACAGTCAGTGGCTTCTTTGTTGTCCTGACTTTCTTCCTTCGTGATTGCTCGATCTTGAACTCTTTTTCCTTCTCATTCACCTCTGTCTCTGCTCGGCTCTTTACTTCCAACCACTCTTGTGTTGAGAGCGCCTGGTCCCATCGCTTATCTTTCTTGAGTTTTTGGAAGCGGGGAAAGCGAAGCGTGTATCCCATGCGGAATTTGTCACTATTCTCGACACTTGCTGCTTTGCACCCCAGGACGACAGAATCGCAAGGGTGGATAAATTCATCTGGCCGCTCGTGTTGCTTATAGTCGTAGCCGCCCAGTTCGATGAATGGAGGCGGTTGTCGACGATCCCATTTATGCCACTTACCTTCCGTGCGCCTCCTTATTTCAGCGTACTCGTCCTTAGTGAAACCACCACCGACCTTGAAAAAGGATTTACACAGTGGATGCTTCGCCACTATCTTGTCCTTCTCTAGCAATGCACAAAGGAAGGATGAGTGGGCGCCACCGCGATGCCCAGTGCCAAAGTATCCGCCAACAACAATGCAGTCGAGCGACTCGCCGTACTCTGACATGTATTCGGGCTTCACTTTCATCCAGTCGTTGTTCCGTTGATTGAGACGGTACATGGAGCGCGGATTCTTTAGCACCAGACCCTCGGATGACTCTGCAACGACCTTCCGTAACTCCGGTTCAATCTCGGTATGCGAGCGCGCCTCAATGTAAGGATGGATCTCCAGACGACGTTTTATGCCCTTGACGGCACTCTCAAGGGCGCGACGTCGATCGCGTAGCGTGTACTGTGTGAGTGATTTGTCGTTCAGATAGACGCAATCAAACACCCTAAACAGTGGCCGCTGACCAGTATCCTTGTCGGTTTTATTCTCTTTCTCAGATATAGCTGCCGTCTTGAGTGTACCGAAGTCCACGATGTGGTCCCTCGCCATATCCCAGGTAATCATTTCCCCATCAAGGATAATGTTCCGTACATTCTTTCCGAAGGCGTCCTCGATAAAACGTGTGAGTGCACCGGCCTCGTCGCCTTCGAAGTGTCTGCCGTAGAGGTATGCGTAGTCTTTGGCTTTACGTGACCAGAACCCAAAGGTCCTTCCGCCGGGTGCATCGGGATCTTCAATCATATGGAGCTGCATGCGCTCCCCGTCGAGCTTCTCTTCAATCCAAAACGTGTCATCGTCCGCATTAGTTTGGAAACGACTCACCAGTTTCTCAAAGTTGCCTACTTTGTCCTGAAACTGAGCTAGCTGTGGCTGGAAGCATTGCATCAAGCTCAGCTCAGTGCTCTCGCCCTCCAAACGAATCTCCGGGTCGAAGAGCTCCCAGCACACTCGCCGCAGGTTTGACGAGATATTGAACAGTGTCTCCGCGTCCGGATGCCAGATGTCGAGGAGTGTCTTCTCGGTAGCGCCGATCTTCATCTGACGGAGGATCATACGGATGAGCCAGGTCATTTCTTCCGCATTCATCCTTCGGTAGAACCGTTTGAAGATCTTGACTTGCTCCTCTTCGGCGCCAACCTGCGACAGCTTATCCAGAGCATTGTTGACTTCGGCGATGCTCATGTCGCTGTACTCGGTCTTCATCTGCCGCATTGACAAGACATCGTAACATCGTCCAGGAAAGTCGCCCGCAGATGCATTCGAAGCTGAGCTGAGCTGACTAGGTAGCTTCCACTCCGTTATGTGGTCGGCATCAATAGATTTGGGCTTCATGCTGGTGCACTTGATCAAGATCTTGGCAATTGCTTTCTCTTTCAGACCGTACATGGCTCGATCTCTGTCTTTTTCGGGAATCATGAGACGCATTGCGGGGTAGAAGTCGTTACCAACTTCATTTCGCCAATTTGCAATATATCTTTCGATGATGTTGCGTTTCGCTTCATGGGGTGACAGGTTGGAGTGTCCGTGAGGCCCGACTCTTCGACGAGCTCCCACAGGCTGCTTCCTCTTCTGTGTTTCCACGAGTGGGTTGAAAAGGTCCGTGAACAGGGTATGGAAGCGGGGCGTCTTGTGGAGGTTCAGCGGCCGGGTAGGGTACTTGTCGTCGAGCTCATCGTCATGACCATACATGAGCGTGTTCTCCCTAACCGCCTGCTCATCCGGCATTGGTATATCTTCAGCCATTTTGGGTGCATTGGAGGAGTGAGATTGATGGGTGTAGCGGTTGTTTGTATATGGAGGCAGAGTCGTGGTTGCCTGGAAGCGGTGACACGCGTGATCACGTGGCTGTCAGGCTGCAACGAGCTAGCGCATCTCCCAAGGCGTCACCCATGCCAGTGGGTACCTACGCCGTGATTCACAAGGCTGACGATACTAATCTTGGAAACTGGGGGAATTGCGACTCCACAACACTCGTTTTCCCTTTAGTCCTTCGTTTCTTTGCTTTCATGTCGCGCCAAAACACCTTTTCCAACCGCACTACTGTCCCCTAATTGTCCGTCTACGTCATTATTACCTACCATCCAATGGACCGTAAATGAGCGCTGCACGTAAGCAGGGCTGGGTCCCGCAGTCGACCGGCGATACCCAACACAACGTACGAGATGCTGCGCTACAAGGTGCCGCTCGAGCTTTCTCCAAACCTCCCGCGAAACCGAAGCCTTTGGTGAACACGTATACTGGAGGAGACAATGGGGCTTTGCTCGCTGCAACCAAAGTCGGCACAGGCAATCCGGCATCCTTGCGGAGGGACCATACCGGTGGTTCCGTAGGCGTCGGTAGGCCGAACCTATCCCATTCGAACAGCACGACGTCGCTGAGCGTGCCTGACGATCACCCCGACCGCGTCTCGTCGCCTTCGAATATCGCGGCACGGCTTGCGGCAGCTCGACACAGCCCTCTGAGGCCTATACCCCAGGCCAAGGCCGTTGTTCCGCCCGCCATGAGCGAACAGCAGCCACACGAGCGGGATGCACTGCCTCCCTCGGGCAGCGTAGGGAATGTGCTTGCGAGACTCGAGTCTCAGAAGCCCACGCAACAGTCGCGGAAGAGGAGAGACAGCCTAGAGTCACCTGCAGCGGCGCGCAATGCCCGACGACCAGAGCCACAACACAAGGCTACTGACGAGACGCCCATACCGCCAACAAACTCGCTCGTGAAGATGTTCGAGCAGGCGCGACCCAGCACACCCACGAAGCAGCCTTCCGCACCGATACGCGTTGCGCAGAATTCACCACCCCCTGTGAAATCGCCCAAGCCACAACGTGCGTTCAAACTGCCTCCCGAGCCGAAAGATGATGCACCGCTGCAGAGAGTCAGAACGCAGACACCGCCGCCCGTCAAGCCGAAACCGAAGCACAAGATCCAGCTGCCCCCACAATATGCTGATGGCAGCAGCGATCAGGCATACTTCAATACACCCAAGAAAGACCCTCTGAAGTCTCCCCCAATCAAACAGAAGCCGGTGCAGTTGGCAGCAATCAACACATCCACGTCCCCACCCTCAAAGCCGCAGCGGAGAGGTTCGCGGCAAACACGGCCCAAGTCGGAGGACACAACGCAGTCATCGTCCTTACAGCGCCGCAGAGTGTCTGCATCTGTAGAAAGCTATCAGTCACCGTCGACTCCCACATCTTTCAAGTCAGCCAAAGAAGACCAGGAGGAGGAAGAGAAGCCTCGACCTGCTTTACCTCCGCCGCGACGATCGACCGCACGGAAAACCGACCCTGCGCCGCCTGCGAACAAACTCCAACCTTCAGCCCCGATACAAATCAAGCCTCGCACCCAGAGCCAGAACCCAGCCTCGATGGCTCCACTACAGAAGCTCTCGCCTCCGCGTCGACCAATGTCAGCTAACAGAACTGGGTCGCCTTCAGTGTACCATAACAACTACCAGCGAGAATCTGTCAAGCAGATCACGCAGCACATGACTGGCGAGTCTCTGTCGAGCGCCATAATGGGCGCCGCCCTAGCCTCCCATTCTCGCAACGTCTCGCCGGCCCCTCGACCTATGTCAGTCGAGCCCCTTTTCCCGCCGCGCAAACAGCATCATCACCACTCGCCCTTCCACCGATCGCCCTCGCCGCCCAAACAATCCCCTCCGAAGAGCGCCGGCAAGCTGCGAACTACAATGCGCAAAGAACCGTCATCCTCCGACGAGGAAGACAACAAGGTCGACAAGTACAAGAAGAAGGGCACACGCATTATGGGCATCAAGGGGCGGAAACACCCGAACAAGCATCATGAGGGGACACGAAAGCGATGGCGCGACCAGATAACCGAACGGGAGCGGAAACGATATGAAGGTGTATGGGCTGCCAACAAGGGTCGTCACATACCCTCACCGGACAACGCACCAGCTGACGACGACCCGTCAGCCGATGTGTTGAATCTCCTTGTCAAAGAGATCTGGACGAGAAGTCGACTACCCACACACGTGTTGGAAGAAGTCTGGGACCTGGTAGACAGTAGAGGTGTCGGAAGACTGAGCAGATACGAGTTCGTCGTGGGCCTGTGGTTGATAGACCAGAGACTCAAAGGACGGAAGTTGCCCGTCAAGGTTAGCGACAGTGTATGGCAGAGCGCCAGGGGCGTAGGGATTAAAGTCAAGATCAAGCATTGACAGTAGACAAAGATGAGATTTAGAGAAGCATCGGCATGGCGTTGGACTTGATTGTCACTGTAGATCCTAGAGATACCCCTAATCGTAGTACAGTTTGTTTCTTTTGTTGATATACACACTATGATCATCTCTCGTCTTGTCCCTGTACTGCAGTTTTGTCTCCCATGCTCAGTAGCCCGGCGCTCCGAACGAAATTCGCAGTACTCCAAAACCCGCCGCTGAAGTCGAGATCGTACCAGTAGTTTACTGCGCAACAGATCCCTTCTTCGTTGCAGCTCTGGCTTACTTTGTGGTACCATAGTGCAGGTAGGTATAGCATGTCGCCTTCTTCGAGCGTTACGATGAGCGGCTGCGAGTATTGGGAATAAGGTGTAGTGTTCGTGGTAGGCTGATCCGGATCCCATGTCGCGAAAGGAACATATTCTTCTGGCTCATCGACCTTGATAATCAGATCGCCCTTCTCTAGCGCACTAGAAGCTGAACCATCCTCATGTTTCGGAGTATAAGTCGCAGCTAACACGCTCTTCTCATTAACACAACCCGCCTCTACAGGCGGCAAGAGAACAAAATGCTTCCGCCCCAGTATCTGCACGTAAATGTTCTCATAATTATCTTTGTGCAGAGCAGTCGCGGAATACGAGTTTCCGAGCCAGAAATTGATGGCGTCCGGTTCTTGCTCAAGGGCTATACGCGCGAACGGTATGCTCTTGGGTACATCGGCGAAGAGCGTGGAGTATTCGTTGCGTAGATTGTCGTTTTGGGTTTGCGCGTAGCGTGTTGGACCGGTGTAGTCGTTTTCTTGCTCTTGGCGTTGGATCTTGTTGAGGACGTCTTCAAAGGGCTCTTCGGTCTCATACGGTTTGACGAATATCGCGCCATCTGACGGGAGGGAGACGACTGAGTCGGCGTTTCCGTGCGGGGTGATTGCTACGTTGACGTTTTGGCCTTGCATCACGGTTTTTAGGTACGAGGCATTCCATGCTTTTCTGGCTTTGAAGTCTTTGGCTCCGTTTCGTATTACGAAGGGTCGGTTGCGGGCGACGTGGCGCATGAATTGTAGGGGTGAGGGTTCAGTGGTGAGGATGTCGATTGTTGAGGGGTTGAGATCGTGGTAGGATGTTATCAGGTCTGATTGAGATGAGTATTAGTGGCGATGCAAGATCGTAAGATACATCGAAACGCTCCATGTTCAGTATGACGTCTGTGGCATATGATATGAGAATGAGAAATCGCCAGAGGAACTAGCCGCGCGATTTGCATCGTGCTTTTAAGCACTCAGACAATAGAATGATATGGGGTTGATAGTATGAAGAGGAAAAGGAAGCACCTCTTACAGCATCTTGCAATGTTCCTTCCGCATCGAGACCAGTTGGTGCAGGCCTTCACACACGATCAGTAAGAGAGAGCACAATGATCTCATCCATGACACACTCACCGCAAAGCAGCCTGCTCTGGACTATTCAGTCCCATCACTTCATCTCCAGTCTGACCCATGTTTGCGCGTTCACAAAGTCGCGCAAAGTTCGTGAAGTGGGATGCGTTATCGGGGTTAAGGTCTTACTAGCAACGGACCTTGCTCTTTTGGGACTAGCTTTTGTGTTGTACTCAGATCTTGGTGTTTTGCACAAAGTGCGCGCTTTTGGAGTATAATTTACGTACTATAAAGTTATACGATAAGAATAGGATAATATTTTCGCACCGCGGTTGACGATGTGGCCGAGTTGAGGCACTCAAAAACTTGGAGAAGAGGTACTTAGTTCCCAACCGCCTGTGGATTCCAAAATACCTCATTTGGATCTACCACTTTCTTAATCGCACTTAGCTTTCCATAAGTCGCATCACCATAGTACAATCGATGCGCCTCCGCTGGTGTCAGCTCTGGATCCAGATAATTCGGGTATGCCAAAAAGTCGCCATCGGGCTGTGCGTCTGTCAAAGCGGTATTGAGGCCTTGCACGAACGCTATGATACCATACTCAAAAGGCGGAAGCATATTGGCCGAGGAACCGATATTCTATCAATAACCGATATTAGCTAGCTGCTTAGAGGATACTGACCAATAAGTGTTGTCTGAAGGGAGGGGAGAGGAGTTTACCTGAAAGACCCAAAGCGAATCGCGATGCGAATACGCCGCACTATCAGGCGATGGAACATTGATCTGGCTATCCCTCCCGCCATACAGCGAGATATACGTCTCCCACGGGGATTCTGCGCTCAATCCCTTACTAATGACATACCCAGCAAAGCTCTCCAGTGCGCGCCGTGTAAGTGGCTTTGCCTCTCTCGTAACAATGGACTTGGTGTAGAAGGTCTGGTGGTTGTTATAGCCAGTTAAAGGCTCAACAAGAGGCTCGCCTTCTGCGATATCCTGCAGCGCATCTAGCCAGTTTCTGGTCACGATCGTTGTATTGTCGGCCTTGGGCAAACCCTCAAGCATGGCGGGGAGTACGGCGCTGGAGAAGTGTGTGCGGTCGCCAAAGTACCAGCCTCGGACTTCGAAGGTACCGAATATGTTCATGTAGATCTCAAGGGTGATATTACGGTCCATGAGAGGAGAAGATTGGGCGAACTTCTGCAACTGGAGAAGGACGTCGGCGACGGAAGATGAAGACTTCAGCGCGGAAGTGAAGTTCACGGAGTAGCTGACGATCTGTGCCGGGGCGGGCTGGGTCTGCAGGTAGAAGGTAGTCACGATACCGATGCTATCTGCAGCTCCACGCAGAGCGTAGTAGAGTTCGGGATGGGTAGTGCGTGTGACGTGAAGCTGAGTTCCATCGGCCAGTACGACGTCCATTGCCACGATCGTGTCGAGTGCAAGCCCTAAACAACATCACGGTCAGCTAGAGTCGTTACATATATTTGCAAAACAGCGGTACTTACCCCAGCGACGAGAAGAGTATCCGAAGCCTCCATGCGTATAGTGCCCTCCGATGCCAACGCCCGGGTATGTGCCATGAGGCAGTGCGGCCTGACCTTGTTTGTATACACCCAGTCCGAGGTTTCCGAGACGCACGCCGCCTCCCGCTCGAACGATACCACTACCTTGTGATCTGTTAGTAAAGATCATGAAGAAACGAGTAAGCTACCTGCCTTTGTCCAGAGATACCTCATTAAACTTCTGTAGATCGATCGTCAAGCTACCATTCGTGCCGCCGAGAGAGTAGCTCCCGTACGAATGTCCTCCAGACCGGGGCTGAACTCTGATGCCAGCTGCAGCTGCGCATGTTATTGAATCGGAAACTTGCTGCGGAGTCTCTGGTATTGTCACGGCCACTGGGGTGTACTGGAGACGCAGGTTGAATGCAGTGGTGAGAGAAGTCCAATCTGAGGAGGAATTGAGAGTAGTAGGGACGGCTTTTGCATGGAGGCAGTCCTGCAAGGCTTGGTGTTGTCGATTGACCAGATGGTCTCGCGGATCAACGAAATCAGCGATGGCGTTCGATACGAACAGAAATAGTAGAGATGCTGAAACCATTTTTTCAGTCAGTTGCTCTTTTGCGACTAACCCTCCTGCTTCCTTGCATTGCATTTTATACAACCACTCCGCCAGCACTACATGCCAAGTCTACCGAACTCCGGAAACATAATATTATACCAATACTACTCGGTCCTCATACTTGCGAAGCAACCGAGCAAGCAATTGCCCGTACCAATCTCGTGATGATTTCCGGATGGAGCTCTTTGCTAGGTTTGGTCAAGTCATGAACTTCTAACGAGAGCTGGCTAGAGCAATACGTAAGACGATCGGTGAAATGCAGTGGCTTTGCCTGGGGCATTGCGACGCAAAATCCCTGTTATGACGCGGAATCGGTACTGACGATGAAGGGATGTCGGCTGATACGACCTCCAGCCGATGCCAAGTCCTCCGACGGGAACTTCCGAAAACCCGATAGCTCTTTCCCATGCAAGAAGGCCACCACAAGTCAGCATTTTTGACCTCGATGATGGTCTAACAACAACACCGCGCCAGCATTGTGGACCGCCGCGGGCACGCCATCACAGACAAAAGATGCTAGAGCGATAGTAAAGCTCAGGATCCGATTGTAATGCCGCCACCATGGAGCACCCTCAACCGCTCCGGCTTTGTCCAAACCCTAGGCCGCAAGTATTTGCAAAACTATGCTCCGAATCGATTTGCTAATACACCAATAGGTAGCGCGCTCACCGTCGCAAAAGGCTTTGTCTTCCTCCACGTATGCTCTTCCTACATTGGCGGCATATCCTCCACCAGCGGCATCTCTATGGTGCCTACGATCCCCCATCATTATAAGGGCCACCCATGGATACTATACTCGTCGCTTCATCGTCGCGGTCGCAACCTCCGCGTTGGTGACATCATAACCTATAATCATCCCATATTCCCCAAACAGAGCGGGTGTAAGCGCATCATTGGGATGCCGGGCGACTTTGTCAGTATTGTCACGCCGGGGCGCGGGGAAGATGATGTACACGCGGTGGATCATGAGGGAAAATGGGCGAGCGTAAGGGAGGAGGTCATAAGAGTTCCAGAAGGACATTGTTGGGTACAAGGCGATAATCTGGAATGGAGTAGGGATAGTAGACTGTTTGGACCGCTGCCGTTGGCGTTGGTCAAGGCGAAGGTATTGGCTGTTGTGCGGCCGTTCGGGGAGGCGAAGTGGATTAAAAACGAACGCGATGTCGCGGATGTGAAGGAGGGGGAAAGAGAGTGGGTGTTGAAGTAGAAGGGAGTATCACGGGAGGAACAAAACAATACTGGGGGGTAGTATACAAGGGAAAGAGTTATTCAGTCGAGGCAAGCTATATACCCAAGGATCCATATAAAGAGCAAAAGAAAACCGACAACGCATCAATACGTCGAACAAGCCACCTCATCAATTATTGTCATTGGCTTGCCTTCCAGGCCAAAACAAGTTTCGAATCTCATCATCCTGTTCATTCATCATTTCCACAGTGGCCAGCTCAGCAGCAGCTTGAGCGCGAACGCGCAATTGCGCCAGGTTCGACATGCGTGCAAAAGTGGGTTCATCGTGCAGCTGAGCCAGACCAGGAAAGCCATAATACTCGGCGATCTCTTCTTCTGGGACATCGTCGCCACGACCGGCCAGCAATGCGACGCGGCGGGCTCGTGCTAATCTACTCGGCGCGATATCGCGTGTTGGGGCGATAGGTTCGGTGGTGTTTCGCGGCGGATCCGGGTATATGGTTCTCCCATTTGAGAGACCTCGAGCCGCAGACTGCGTAGGTTGTGGAGGAATGTTGTTGGTTGCTGAGGATTCTGGCGTCTGGCTGGTGTGTCCCCTTGAGGCTCCATCTAGCAGTGTCTGGATGTCTTGCTCTATTCGTGCTGTCCTCGCTCTGCTTAAATCCAAATCCGCAGCGGCACCAGCAAGTCGGCTGCTGAGGTTCGAATTATGTGGAGATCTGGCTTCTTCAGCGGCTCGTAGGTTCGCCATAGTTTCAATGCGTGTCATCCTGATACTGGGGACATCTGACGAGCTGTCTTCTCCAGTAGCCTGTCTAGCTGACATGCGTCGGCGTCGGCGTGTCTCGATACTAGAACTCGAATCATCTGAGGAACTGTCTTCTCCGGCAGCCCGTCTAGCTGCCATGCGTCGGCGTTGGCGTGTCCAGATACTGGGACTTGAATCATCTGACGAGCTGTCTTCTCCAGCAGCCCGTCTAGCTGCCATGCGTCGGCGTTGGCGTGTCCTGATACTAGGAATCGAATTATCTGACGAGCTGCGTTGGCGTCTACGTGTCCTGGTACTGGGAATCGGATCATCTGACGAACGGTCTTCCTCTGCGGCTCGTCTATCAAACTGTTGAAGTTGCTGTATGCTGTCGCGCCTGATTCGATTCAGATCTGCCAAGTTTCGCTCGAGTGCTACTGCTTCGACACTGTCGTGTAGGAGCCCATCTTGAAGACGCGCTGCTTCCAGTTGTCTCATTTCAGCCACCGCTAAGTCATGCGTGGATTGCAGTGTAGCCCTTGCTTCTGCTCTTGCCGATGCCGTTGTCTGATCGGCAGAGTTGGCTACACCCGCACCACCTAAGGCGTGGTAAGCCGGTTGCCTACGAATTAGCTCTTCGATTTCTGGGGCTTCTCCATCCGCAACCATCTGTGACATTCTTTGCATAGTGTTCCTCCTATTTTCTGTGGGACGCTCAGGGTCCCCATCTTCAAGTGCCTCCTCCATACTACTTCTCCAGGTTGGTGTGCCCACAGACCGGAATAACATACGATCTGCACCGGGCGGAAGCCTATCAAACGCTGCGCGGACCTCTTCATCCTCCCATTCCTGCTCTCGCTCCTGAGCAGTCTGTCTCAGCCTTCGCATGAGTTCCCTATCTTCCGGAGTCATCTGTCTAGACATCTCAGCTTGGGTTCGCCTTGCCCATCCCCTGATGGACTCTGGTGTATTTGCAGAACGGATGTTGCGACGATCGAAGTTTACCGGTTCCGTATGAACCGATGTGCGGGTCGCGGCAGTCTGTCGTCCCAAAGCGAGCTGAGCCAATCTTAGGTCACCTTCCTCAACTCTTCCTGCACGCCTGAAGGCCTGGCGTTCTGCCTGCATTCTCCGCTCCATGATACCTTCTCGGGTGCGAGCATAGCTCGATGGTGCTGGAGCTGGCGCCGCATATAGCTCACAGCGGCAGTTAGGACAAGTGCGGTTTCGTCGTCCATCGCCTTGGAGCCAGGTGAGAAGGCAGACAGCGTGAAACATGTGGCCACATGGGCGAGCTATTTGTACCACATCCTCGGCGAGGTGTTCGGCGCAGATTGAGCAGTCTGACTCTTCGGGCTGGGGACCTGCTGGTACGATGCCGGTCATGAAGAACTCTCCTTGGCTGCGGAGAGCGGGCATGTTGGACGGCGGTGTGGTGTTGGTCTGTGGGACAGCACGCTCGTTAGAAGACGATGATGTGTCGCTAGGCTCGGGAATTCTACGCCCGACGTAGGAGTCCATGTTCACGGCTGTGCTGGTAGAAACTATCGGGTGGGACTGGAGAGTCGAGTGTGGGTTGAGGAGATTATCTGTTCAAACCCGGCGGGGATCACACAATATAGGTTCCTCTTTGTTAGACTGTGAACAGCATTGGACTGTGGCTGTACAACAGTGTGGCGAGATGGATATTCACAACGTAAGATCCTATGGGCAAGATCTATGACCTACTACTTTCATTACTTCTCCTGTGGTCTTGGGTGAAATACCTGTCACAATGATCTGGGCTTTCGCGTCCTCAGGCCTTCACTCCCGACGTTAATGGGGAACCGGGGCTGACAAACAAGACATTTGATCAATGATTTCTATTGTATTTGTTCGATGTCTATATCAAACCGTTGATGGCCCCGTTGAGGTAAGCCCAACATTGATAGCCGACGACCCATCATTAACACTAGCTGCATCATGAACGTTCTCTTTTCACCCCACTCCAAAGCTCAAGGGGTCTTATGCATTGTCTCTTCGAACGCGCTCAAGCTTCAATCGTACCCAAATCGCCCAAACCGCGCTCATCATTCTCCTCTTTCTATCATGCCTGATATCTCAACGTAAAAAGTCTAGCTTGATGCCTCGGGGACATCGGTGCTATTGTCATCTTCTTGGGGCGATTCAGACCGTGCTTCACGAGAACGAAAGCGCTGTGTATCTGATGCAGCGGCCTCTTGTGCTCGCTGAAGAATAGAGGATGGCCTAGGACGCCCCGGGGGATGTTGCCTGAACGCAGTAGGATCTGTTGATGCGGCCCTGAAGGGTAGTGAGTCATCATGCATGTGTCTCACGACGGTGCTAGATACGCGACGTGGAT